TTCTCGTTTAAAAGTGATAAATTGTTATCATTCTTATCATTAATTAACTTATTTATTTTTTTTTTTTGTAATAAATTTATATTATATCTGATGCGCGCGCGCGTGTGTGTGTGTGTGCGTGCGTGCGTGTGTGTGTGTGCTTGCGTGCGTGCACGCGCGCGTTTGATTAAAAATATTTTATCAATTCTATCAAAGTAGACTTTATTAATCGTAAAAAAAAATTAATATGAAAATTCATTATAAAGAGTACGTTATCGAGTGTAAAACAGATTTTAGGAAAGTAAGTATTGAAGCGTAGATGTGAAGTGATGTGCATTGGCATGACCAGCTATAACCGGTGGTGGTACATAATATATCACGGTTATAAGAACGAATGAAGTTCAGTAGTTTGGAAACTATCGTCCATATAAGCACGTTCTCTTCTACAATCAGAAATTATCGTGATAAAATTCTTATTCTTATCAGTATTATATATTCACAAATATTTGCTCGACGACGAGACGTGTGATAAATATGAAATGAAATTTAATATTATCAATCGTTTATATAAATGCAACGATGAAACTTGAATAAATTTATTATGAGTTTCCCGTGGAGTTAGTAATGAACGATTCAAAAATGGAAACCCAATTAATTCATCGAGAAAATGGAATCGACTACGTATTACTTACGAGTAATAGATTAGAAGATGCATTGCGCATTCAAGCAAATACAATGGCCAACGAAAATATTGCTATTGGATTAGATATGTTTGAAGAATCTGGTGCAGCCGAGGAGATGCAATTGATATTCAGGGAAGTTGTTAAAGATGGAGTTTCAATAATCGCTTTAGACAGTGAGACCAATGAGATAGCCGGAGTGATTTTTAATAAAATCCATGCAAGTATATCCTTTTTTCTTTTTAAAGAGCTTTTGCATGCGATATAGATATCATTTCGATGGTATGTCAATTTTTTTTTTCTTTAAGACGTTTAATTTTTTCTTTGAAAAAAAAAAAAAAAAAAAAAAAAAAAAAAAAAAAAAAAAAAAAAAAAAAAAAAGAAATATCTATAATTATCTTCGTTCGAGTATATTTTAGCATTTTCAAATATTATAACTGTATATTTTGTGAACAAAAATATTTAAGAAATACTGTTACATTAGCAGAAAAAAAATTCATTAAAGTGAAATAAAGGAAATAATTAAGAAGGGGTAGGGATTAAGAGGGAAGAGGATAAAAGAGACAATTGTCCAATTGTCCTTATGAGTTAATTTCCATTTGTATCACGTTTCCTCCTTGTTATAAACGATAATAATGAACGTTTTACTAATTCCATTTTACGAGTATAAGAGAGAGAGAGAAAGAGAGAGAGAGAGAGAATCTTAAAATAACATAATTTGTCTCTATTATTTCTAAAGATTTCTTTGAAGGACGGTGAAAAGGATGCACTTGAGAGTTTCATCGAGAAGAATATAAAGCATCGTTCTTGCATCGAACTTATTAATTTCCTCGATAAAGTGAGTATTATCATAAAAAAAAAAAAAAAAAAAAAGAAAAAGAACAATTTCAAGAAATTATTAATTTATTAATTGATTAAAAAAAAAAAAAAAAAAAAAAAAAAAAAAAAAGAAGTAAATAATTAATTATGCTCCTTTCGACGACGTATCGAGTAAAAATTATTTCCATCTCTCTTTTTTTCTCGTAACAGAGAAAGAGAGAGAGGGAAATAAGGGAGAGTTGAAATTTGGATAATATATATTTTTTTCTTTTTTTCTTTCTCTCTTTCTCTTTTTTTTTTTCTTTCATCATATATGCAGGTTGAGTCAAAGGTGAATATTTTCGAAAAATACAACGTCGATGCCATATTGGAAATGTTTTATCTTGGAACTGATACAAAATATCGTGGACGTGGTATCGGTATGCTACTCACGGAATGTACTTTGAAATTAGGAAAAATGTTGCAAAATGGTGAAATTAAAAAAGTTTCAATGGTTGCCAATGAGAGAATAGTTTTAGAAGCGGCAATACCAAAAGTCGCGATCGCCGTTTACACATCGAATTATTCCATACGTATTGCCGAAAAGTTGAACGGTGAATTTTTAGCAAACGCATTCTACGAGGATTTTATTATTAATGGTAAAAAAATGTCGGAGAGGATCGATAGCAATCACAAGAAGGTCGCACTGGTTGCTTATAAATTATAATAATATAATAATAGATAAAAAAAGAAAAAAAAAAAAACAAAAAGAAAAAAAAGAAGTATAAAATTGTTAACAATTTGTGTTTGAATAAAGAACAATAAATGTTATTTTGCTCTCTCTATCTCTCTCTCCCTCTCTATTTCTTTTTTGTTTGATTTTCTTTTTTCTCTTATTTTTACTATCTCTACGACTCCTTTTAATCCCTTTTTACGTTCACCACTTCCAAACGGTTAAATTTTTTTTTGTCATTTTTTTTTGTTTTTTTTTTTTTTTTTTTTTTTTTTTTTTTTTTTTTTAAATACATATATATATCTTTATACGTTTACTAGATAAGTATTGTATCTCGTTTAGGAAGACGCCTGGTATATAATTATACGGCACTGCTGTTCGCTGGCAAATATAGTAACATCATTATTAAAGCGTCAATCTGAAAGAAGCGCAACGGCAATTCTCATTCATTTATTTTTCTTACGTCTCTCCTCTTTATCCTTGCACGTTATATACATCACGCGTTATAAATCACTATGACGGATACGCAGGCTAGGCCAAAAGTTCTTTTAGATAATATTTATAGAAAATCAATTACAATTCTTTTTCGTGATTACATTTTTAAATCTGATATTTTTTTGCAATTGTGTACAAAAAAAGAAAAGAAAAAGAAAATCCTATACTCAAAGATAGATTTACGATTTAAAAAAAAAAAAAAAAAAAAAAAAAAAAAAAAAAAAAAAAAAAGAAATAGAAAACAAAAAAGAGAAAAAAAATGATAGCTCGAAGAGTCTCGAAGAAGTTTAATTAATTTTTAAAATATCATCCGACAGAAACATTCGGCGTCCAACCTGTTATTCTCTGTTTTTTCTTTACTTCTTCCTTCGTCCATCATTTTATTATACTTTTTATTCACACAATTATCTATCGACTGAATCGCCGAATAGCGCGTGCTATCGATTACATTGACATCGAGTTGTTTTTTTTTTTTTATCGATTAACGAGAAATTCTTTTAACGAACGTCCATAGCAAGAAACCGTACAGATATTATACTACTCCACAATAGATTTTCGTGGAGTAATATATATATATATATATATATATATATATATAAATATAAATATATATATACATATATATATATACATATATTTTTTTTTATTTTGTTTTTTTCTTATTTTTTTTTTTCTTTTTTATTTTTTTATATATACTCGTCGACTGTATAATAATTTCTATCGTATATATATATATATATATATATATATATATATATGTATGTGCGTTCAATTGGCCGAAACGACAAAGCCGACGAGAATTTGAGAACATTTTTTGTAAAAAGAAAAAAAAAAATAAAAGAAAAAAAAAAAAAAAAAAAAGAAACAACAACTATCTTATGTTTCGATTTTATATAATATATCCGAGCGGTTTCGGCTAATATACACTTAATCTTAAGTATGAAAACTATAGTTTATAATAAATTACATACAACGATATACAAATTGTACTGCTGCGCTTTTAAATTATTCCTTTGCTAAATGAAAACATTCAAAAAGATCGTGGCTCCTGGTATTATACTACGAATAATTTTGCAATTTTTCTTTCTTTCCTTTTTTCTTTTCTTTTTACTCTCGATTTTTTAATTTTCCCAGTAACAAATTTAGAAGCCACTCTCTTAAGTCACGCGAATTTCTACGTTTCGATTAAGCACTTAACTGTTTCAATATCACATATATTTATACGGTATGTATATATTATATTATTATGTAAATATATCACCAAAACATTATTTATATATATATATATGTGTTTGTGTTTATGTGTGTGCGCGTGTAAGTATATATATACCAAATCTTTCCTCTTCATACATTCTATATATACGCTTCATATATCCCGTGTCACATACTTTAGTAGAGATTAATACAAACTTTGGTTTTACGTTTTATATATATAATTCTAATATACCAACATTTTTCAAATTGAATATATATATATATATATATATATATATATATATATACGTTTGTTTTGTTATGGTTATTGTAAAAGCTGTTATTAATTACCATTACTATTTATAAGTAGTACTGACATTGTTTAGTACTTTACTCTGATTATACGAAATCAACAGACGCGTACATCATTCTTATTTATTTATTATTATTATTATTATTAATATTATTATTACTATTATTATTATTATTATTATTATTATTATTATTATTATTATTATTATTAATCGTTCTATTCGAGTATTATTGGTTATATTTGTTTCTTTTTTCCTTTTACTTTTTTTCTATGTCTTTTGGTTTCTTGTTCCTTTTTATTTATTTTTCTTTTCTTTTTTATCAGTTTCTGTTTGTTTCAAATCTATTATTGTTGTCATCGATGAAATGCTTATTACTGCAATTGTAAAAATGTGGACGTATATAGGTTTTCCAATAAAATATGACTGATGTACAATAATTCCAACAATGAATAATTTTCTCTCTTCTTCTTCTTCTTCCTTCTCTCTCTCTCTCTCTCTCCCTCTCTCTCTCTCTCCTTCTCTCTCTCTTCCTCTTTTTCTTTCTCTCTCTGCCTTACAATCTTATTTTTTTATTACAATCTTATTTCTAACACGTTTAAACAATTTAATACACATTCAACAAACTATCTCGTTATTGTTAATAATTGTATAAGCTGACACAGATAAGTGACATTGAAATGTTAAATATCATTATTATTATAACGTTAAACTAATGAAATATCTTTTATATTTTCTCTCGTTCCTATGCTTGTATATATGTATTACATATATACATATATATATACATCTATATATATATATATATATATATATATATATATATATATATATATCAGTATATATGTGTATGTATAAGTATATATTTTAGTCTAACTTTCGAATTTTTTACACGAAAACTCGAGAAATTTGGCACTAATATATTCAAATATATTTCTTCTCTTTTGTTTCTTTTTCTTTCTTTCTGTTTTTTCTTTCTTTTCTTTTCGATTATCCATCGCATGCCATCGCATTCGTTCGATTTCTAAATTTGATTTTTTTTCCTTTTCTTTTTGATAATAGCTTGTACATCTAATTGGAAGAAATACAAATGAATTCGTGTTGTTTCATTTCTTTTCTTTTCTTTCAAATCGAATAAGACGCAAAAAATAATCCTGCATTATGCTGTATCCTTTGTAAGTAATTAAAAAGAAAACAAAAAAAAAAAAAAGAAAAAAAAAGAAAGAAAGAAAACAAAAAGAAAAGATAAAAAAAAGAAAAAGATAAAAAGAGAAGAACAAATAACAAAAAGAAAAAAAACATTTATAAACGTAGAACAATATCACAGTCATTTTGTACATTAATTATGTAAACTCTTACGCAGAAAAAGATTACGTGGTTTCTTCAAGTGAATAGAAATAACGTGTAACATAACATAGTTAGACAAATATAAATATAACAATGATATATATGTGTGTATATATATATATATCTTAAACGTGAGATAAAATTTATGTTTACAAAAAATTAACAAGGAAAAAAAAGAAGAGAAAAAAATGAAATAAACGACGAAATAGAAAAACAACTTCTTACGTAAATTTTTACTAGTTTAGCTATTCACGATTAATAATGTTTGTTTTATCTAGCAAAGAATGATAATGAAATGCCTTTATGTTGTTCCGTCGACATTATACATATAAATGATTTCTTATTTCCTTCTTCATTTTTCCAGTCATGCTGTTAATACAAATTCATTTATTAAGAGCTCTTATTAGACTTATTCGTCTTTCGGTTGTATATTTGTTTCGTGCGTTTTTTTTCTTTATTTATTTTTATTCTTCTTTTTTTTCTCTTTTTTTTTCTTTTTTTTCCTTTTTTTTTAATCTTTGTATTTTTTCCTCTTTTTTTCTTTTTCATTTTCTTTTTTTCACATTCTTTGTAATCCTCCAAATGTCTAATGAAACATCCCTTAGAGATGTTACATATGTGTATGTGTATATATATATATATATATATATATATATATGTCTAATCATATAGAGAAGCGGTTTTTAAAAAAATTTATCCGTATAAAAAAATACTTTTTCTTCAGCGAGCAATTTATGCGCTTTGCGCGTCACTGTTATTGTTATTATTATTATTATTATTATTATTATTATTACTATTATTATTATTATTATTATTATTATTATTATTATTATTATTATTATATTCGAACAACGAATATATTAATACATATATTATATATATATAATATGTATATATGTTTGTGTATATAATATGTATACTATATATATGTATATATATATATATATATATACTGCGAAAAAAAATTTGGAATCTAAAGGTACATCAAAGTACGAAACTTTCAGTTTGACTAGAAACACACGAGCCGTGCATAATTTTTTTTCCTACAAAAGTAGTTTCTCTTGTTTTCTCCTTATTATTTCTTTTTTCATTTTTTTTTCCTTTTAGTTTCATTCTCTCTCTTTTTCTCTCTCTCTCTATCCCGTTCATATGTTCTTTCATCTTTTGCTATTGTTATTAGAATAATACGTCATTCATAGTACAATAGAAATAATTTGCGTTTCACCTTTTTTTATATATATGTATATTTTTCTATATATATATATATATATATATATATATATATATATATATATATATATATATATATATATAGAAAAATATATATATATATATACTATTTTTTCGCTTTTCTTCGGAATGCTTCTTTATTAAAATAAAATATAAACTGGCAATAACGTTCTGACTCGACGGATATTTTCTTTTTTTGTTTTTTTTGTTTTGTCTTGTTATGTATGCTGGCATTACATAGGAAAAAACGATCGTTTAATCAACCCTCCTCCTACCGTCCGCCGCCCCATTCACCCCAGCCGCGACAAATTAAAACACTTTCATTGTTCTCTCATTGTAATTTTCTTATTTTCATTTTCTTTTTGTATCTTTTTTTTCCTTGTTATTTTTATTTTAACGATTTTTTTTGTCTCTCTCTTTCTCTCTCTCTCTCTCTCTCTTTCTCTCTCTGTCTCTCTCTTTCTATTTTTTCTGTCTTTTTCTTCAAAAAATTGTCAAACGTTTAAAGGAATCGCATCTGGGTTTTTTCTTATGTACATATTTGAAATCCTTTTTGCGAACGATTATAAATTCAATCAATTACGTAAAAGTACGTAATCTTCATGTGTGTAATATACGATTAAGTAAAGATTAATATAATAATACTTATTAGCAACAATTATATTATGCTAATAATAAGATAATAAACTTCGGTTTGACTAATTTGTAGCTTCAGTTTGTTTGTTATGTTTTGAAATCGATCGATCGATCTATATCATCTCTCATCCTTTTTTTTTTCTTTTTCGTTCTCAATTATATTAATATAGCATATATGTATTTATATATTTATGCGAAAAAAAATAGTATAGAAAGGATTCATCTATGGCATGGTGGCTCGTGTTGTATATCAGGTGGTTGTATAGTTTGATAATAAGCTTGATTATCCCTGAAGTGAGATCTGACGAGTAAGCCCAAGCCAAGGAGTACAACCGGAAGACCGAGTAAAGCACAAATTAATTCGCCAGTTACTCCAGGTGACCATTCGATGAAACCTATTTTTCAAAACGATACAATTTAATTACGATATTATTTCTAATTGAATAATAACAATAATAATATTAATAATAATAACGATGATATATATATATATATATTTCAAGGTTAAAACTCACCGCCGTTAGCACCGACGTTCATTTTGTAAATGCTCCACCAAATTCCAGATAAAGGAAGAGATACTGTAGCCGCTGCGACAGTAAATACAGCACTTTCACACATCGAAAGAAAGTTTATCGACGAAATGACAAAAATTACATAAGCTAAAAGACAAATCCATGCGTGGCTGGATACGTTTGAGCAAGAATCAATTGCTTTAAAGTGACAGGACAAACCGTGTTCGACGATACGATACAAGTCGACCGGTGATAAACCCTAAAAATGAATTTTTAAACGATTAGTATTCATTTTCATTTCGTTTAATTCCTATGCTAATATCATATATTGACATTTGTCTTTCCTTCAATACATAATATACTCAAAATATATTAAATTGGTGAAATGATAAAAATCCACAATTATATTTGCATCAGTATATATATATATATATACACGATTCAAGTTCTATTGGATTAATTAATGATCCATATATCTAACATTTTTTCTATGGAAAACGAAGTTGTTTCATATATTAGAGAAAATAGAAAAACAAAGGAAAAAGAGACAAAGAAAAAGAAAAAAAAGAAAGAAAGAAAGGAAGAAAAACACAGTAAAACAGTCCAATATTTTTTTCCATCTAGCCGTCGATCTACGAAGATAAATAAACCTTTTCTTTCTTCTTTCTTGTTATTTATTCATTTTTTTTCTTTTTTTTATTTATTTATTATTATACCTACCCTACCGATACCAGGCAACGTGTCCAACCAACAGAGCGTGAGGATTGCAAAAAATGCGATGGCATGTATGTGGAAAAGGGTCTGAAGTATAGGGGGTTTCGGATAATTCTTCGGCTTTATAGTTGGATCTGGGTCCGTGACGTGCAACAATCTACCACCCTCCTCCTCCGATCCTCTTCGTCGTATGTCACGCGAGGAGACCAAGCGAGAAACGGTGTATAGGAAAGAACTCGGCTGAGTTGTCAGCAATTGACAAATATTTTGTTGCTATCGTGAGGAAAAAAAAATATTATACCGATTAATTAATTAATGATAAAATTAATCTTGTAGATTTAATATCATTGATTTGATCTATAGGTGTTTTCTTTTTTATCTTTCTTCTTTTTTTTTTTTTTTTTTTTTTTATTTTTTTTTCTCTTCTCTTTTCATTTCAAATTTTATTTAATTTCTTTTCGACGAAAGAGATTAATTGTTAATCGACATTGACGTATACACCTATATGAAAATTAATTACACTGATGTTAACATCAGTGTAACGTATATGTTTACATTGATATAGAAATTTAACAATTAATTTTATTATGAAACATATATGCCCAATGTCGATATATAAAAAACAAATTAATTTTATCTACTTTACTAAGTAAAAATTATTAGTTTCGTGTAATAGAATTTCTATTTCTTTTTTCTTTTTTTCTTTTCTTTTCTTTTCTTTTCTTTTTTTAAAAAAGAAATTCTTTAAACGAATGTAAGAAAATTACTTTACACATTAGAATAGGCCATTATTATTGTAATAATATTACGAAAACAATGAAGAAAGATTTATATATATATAGTGTTCTCGTTTTGCTAATTTAGGGTGGTCTAGTTTTAAAAAAGATAAAGAAATGAGCAACAGCGTTAATTGGCCGTGTAATTAGAAAGAAAAATCTGAAAATTTACCCCGGTAGTATAATGACGCTCGAGCATAGTGAAGAACATCGCGAAAGCGGCCAATGCACCAACGTAAACAAAAGTCCAGACAGCTCTGACGCCCCAGGATCCTCTCATTGTCGCTGTATGTGCCGACACTTCTCTTCCCCGACAACGAAATTCATCGCAAAGACCATAGTCGACACTTATAAACAGGCCTACTATTATCGTCGTGCTTGCGAATATTCGTTGAAGACTCATCACTGAAACATATATAACATATTTCATATAATATTATATTTATTGACAATATAAATATCATTTCTTTTTCAATAATTTTCAAAAAGTATATATATATATATAAAAATTATATATATATATATATACATATATATATATTTCGTATGGCTTTTAACATGTAATGTTAATGTATCTTTAATTTCATCTTAATAAGATGAATAATATGTAATGATATTTTTTGTTTTTAAATATACAAATATTCAATGATCGTTAAAAGTAATTTGCTTTTAATTGATTTAATGAGATAAATAATATCAAAGTGAGAGAGAGAGAGAGAGAGAGAGAGAGAAGTAATTGGAATTTTTCAATGCATAAATATCGGATAATTTTCTTAAGTTTAATGCGTTATTAATTTAATTAACAAGATGTACGAATATAAAATAATTAATGTATTAATATGATTTTATATATTAATAATTCTTTCAAAAGAGAGAGACGGAGATAGAATTTTTTATGAATAAATTGCGAACTATCTCCTTCTGCTTTTTAAAATTTTAATTTCTTCTCTTTTTGCAAAATTAATGAGAGATTGATTAATTTTTTTTTGTTTTCTCTTTTTTTTTTTTTTTCTTTTTATTTTGTTCTTTTTATTTTACTTCGAACAAACGTGTATATCTTACTTTTTCGAGAGAAGAAGAAATAGTAAACCAATGAGAAAAGTAGAGTAATGCCCTTTATCGGATCCTGAAGATGACATAGAACTCGATTTTGATCGAGAGATAGTGCAACAAGAATACCAGAGAGAGCATAGAGCGTGCTTATTTTGATTAGGATGCAACGTGGTATCCTTATTCTCATCGAGTTTGGCACCAAAGGTGGAGGCGGAGAGACTTTTTCCATGACGACGTAGACGAACCCGAGAATACAAGCAGACCCGAGTGCACTGAAGAGAAGACCTATGAGAAATAACATTTTTTTTTTATTTCTTTTTTTACTTTTATTACGTATATATACGTGCATACATTAAATTATCTTAATGCACTGAACTACCTTATAAATAAATACACACACACACACATCAATATACTAATGTAGTCTGACAATTCTCTTTTTTAAATTACTTTAGTGCACTAAGTTGCTTATATATATATATATATATATATATATATATATATATATATTTTTTTTATTTGATCATTGCTTGAATAAAAATTCACTTTATCGACACGTTTACCTTCGTCACGTAAAAGAAAATATACTTCTCTCTACTAACAAGATCGCGCGTTTTTCACTTCGAGAATTTATATATATATATTATATATATATATATATATATATATATATATATGTATATATGTATATATATATATATGAAATCTCCATTCTCCTGGATAAGCTTTCATTATTTACGGTCAGTGATCTCACGTTTAGAAATCACAAGATAATAAGAAAGACAGATTTTATAAACGCGTTTAGTATAAATATATAGACGCGAATATTTTTCATAAAAGTCTATACAATTTTGAAATATTAAATAGCACGATGAGAAAATGAATGAACTTTAATATCGTTTTACCATTGTAAACGTTAGACACGTTACGACGATGCTTTTTACAAAAATGCGAAAAATCGATAACGCCAAAAATTTCTTTTCAACAAACGCTTTATATATCTATTCGAAGATTTTCAATAGAAATTATTCAATACAATTTTGAAATGTTTTTCACGTTACTCGAAGAAAAACCCATAGACACATATCGTTTTATCGATATAAACGTTAGATACGTTACCTACGATGCTTTTAACGTAAAGCGAAATAATCGATAAACGAAATGTTTTCATTACAAACGCATTATATTCTATATTCGAATATTTTTCATACTGAATATGAATATAATTTGAAAATTTTTACCAATGATAAACGTTAAGATACGACACTGATGTTCTTTACAAACCGTTAAAAAAACCAATAAACAAAAGATTTCTCTTATAAATGCATTGTATTGTATATTTGAATATTTTTTTTTTTTCCATATAATAAATTTTAAAAATAATTAAAAAAATTTTCTACATGTCAATTAAAATAATAAATGAGAATGATCATAGATATTTGCTTACCAGTGTAAGAGTTGGATACGGCACTGATGCTTTCGAGATAAAGTGGAAAACCGATAACAAGAACTGTTACGGATGTAACCACGGTGAGAAGGGTGATTAGAAAGGTGAATTTTTGCCAGGTCGCTCTACTTCGGTCGAATAGCTTATCGGAACTTGCACGATAAGGGCCGACGTACGGTGATTCTTCCGTATCGGTATATTCTTCAATTTCTACGTCACTTCCGGTACAACGGAGTTCCTCCTGCTCCTCGTCGTCTATCATCGTAGATACGCAACTCGCGAGATTCGCCAGGTTCGCCAGTTTTGCGATTGTATTTCTTATTATTGTTGTCGTATTTTACAAATCTTTCCTGTAATATCGAATATTATTATTAACACGATTGTAACGTTCGATTTGATTAACTTAATCTCTCTCTCTCTCTTTTTTTTTTTATTTTATTTTTTATTTTTATTTTATTTTCTTTCCTTTTTTTTTCGGACTAATACTAACTCGGGCTAATAACTAACTCTTTATCATTCTTTTTTTTTTCTTTTTTTGATACCGAAGGAATAAGAAGTATAATGGACTTTTCTATCACAGATTCTAAAGACTATT